TATATATATATATCCTATATATATATATATAGGATACACTCTTATCTTTTTTCAGAACCACAAGCACCAAAATCAACCCTAATAGCACACATATGTATCAACACCACCATGGAGTGGTGGTGCAGAGGTTAGAGAAGGTGGGCCTGTGATCAGAAGGCTGCTGGTTCGACTCACCGGACAGACAACATCAAAATGTGGGTGGAAAACGTGAAACCCCCACACCTGCCTCCACCCTGATTTTCCCCACTCTGGGCCCTTAACCCCCACCATCTGCTCCCAAACAGGTCTCTCTTGAAAATGAGTCCTCGTGACTCAATGAGACTACCTGCATAAATAAAAGTTAAATAAAAATATAAAAAATAATAACATGGACCATGTGGATCTATGTTTTTGACATAATTAAACATGAATAAATGTTCCAACTATCACAAGGTGCACAAATGTTCCACTCTCTTCTCCTCTTTCTCCTCACACTTCAGGCACCGTTGTAAATTCCAGCCAGGCACAGACCCCTAACCTCGTCTCCATGGTAACGAGGAGCCTAGACCCTAAAACAATCCCCCTTATCGAAGAGTGGTCCCGACTGCATGAAGTTTCTCATTGTGCCCAACTTTCTGTGAAGCTCTGAATAACTACAGAGCTCATGAAAACTACACAATTATTCTCGTTTGATTCTTTGTTGGTTGAAATGTGCACATTGTATCATCTCATGATTTAAATGTGTTTTTTGTAATCGATGAAGTTAATTTACTCTCTTATCTCCCTCCAGCATCTGAAGTTGAGAATAATTCTTCATTGAATTCTAGGATATGTGTTTGATGAGTAACCTCTCAGAAATCCTTATTTTAATCTTTTCATGTGGTTCTTACTGTTAAATTTTTGTTACACTTCCAGCAGTGTTTTTACAAATGTTGATTAGTTGTGATACTGAAGTATTGACAACTTTTGAGTATTGGAGTGGACGAGGGATTAAGAAGTTAGATTTCAAAGTTTTCCCTTTTGGTTTCTTATACGTGAACATACTCTGGTGATTTTCCTTCAGGAAGGGCAGAAAAGAAATGTCTTTCTTTCATTGGTCGGTTCATCTAAACATGATCCTACAGCAGCCACAACCAAGACATAAAACTGTCTCTATCCATCATCATAAATACCTGAGCTTTTAGCTCTTCCGCTCCGTCTTAGTTCTTTGAATATCGCCCTCCCAACTCTTGAACAGAGCAGATCCAAACAGAGCCGAACCAAAGAAGGCCGACCCAACAGAATCTTCAGAGCAGGCTCTTCCAGACAAAGACTCTGTTGTCCACGGCTGATCAGACAACACTGACTGCACGTCTCCTCCCGATCCAAACCCCACATGCAGGCAGCATCTGCAGTTTCTTCAGCTTAACTTTATGGGATTTACCTCTTCAAGTGACTGAACTTTGCTTTATCAAACAAATCCTTTTGATACTTTTTGACTTTGAGAAGTAATTCAGATAAACTTTGTTGCTTTTGAAACCCGTTTTTATGCTCCAAAGTCCATGTTCAATAATCCAGGTAAAAATCCAGCAGTGTTCAGTCAGGTCATCTGGATGGTTTCTTTTTGGATGATATGTTTTGTCCATCATCCAAAGGACTTCTTCATTCCGAGGAGCCACCAACAAACGGAGTCCCTTTTTTATGCTAAAATGGTGCAAACAAACCTGGCTGAACTGGTCTCCAACTTGGTCTGTGCGAATGCACTGCATGTTCTCCTCCATCCGAGATCACCTCCAGCAAACTGGCTGATTTCAACTCCTCGGAAACTGATGCCATGCAGACCACAGTGTGTCCAGAGGTACCAAGATCTGGTCACCTGTCTTACAAGTGGCGATGCCCTCCTGGAGCTGGGCCAAGGTCTCTCATGTGTCTACGGGACTCCAGCCTGTAGATGCATAACGTCCACCATCAGTTCCTCCTACCCAGGTCATCGACTGCGCACGTTAGTAGAAGAACCTTTTTGACAGTCGTATATCCAGATACTTGCTTGCTCATTATTGTTTGGTGTCAGTTATTTCACCTTCATTCTGGGTTATTAACAGATAAA